TAACATTAATTTTAATGTTATTATTACCTAAATGAATTTAATTAAATAATTAAATATTAAATATTAATTTTTATTTTAAAAAAATTCTTAATATATACACTAAAAGCAAAAAATTAAAAAAAACCATTTTCATTTTCAATGATACCTTCCTTTCTTCGAAACTGGGGCTCTTTAACTGTGTAAACTTGCTATGGGCCAAGAAACTTGGTATCTTGCTATTATAAGTTACCGGTCATCTTCTGCAAAGGAGCGGCAACGTGGCAAAAGGAGAGAAGGAGTGCTGGAGAGCGACTGCAGGAGCGAGTGCTCCTAGTACTCCTCTTTAAATTAAGTTGGACGATAAATTTGTTTTGGAGTAAATATACATTTTAACATATAATCTTGAGGGAAAAGTTACTACATGTTTGGTACATGATTGACTGAAAGTGAATAAAATATTTGTTGAAATGGTTGGCCCTTTATTTCTTGTGATTTCTGCTTTTCGATTTGTGGGCATTGCAGGGATTGAATTTGTTCTCATAACAAACATATGATTCTTCAAAGACTCTGTTGATAGAAAACGATGTTTTATTGCAGGTTCCTGCATCTATTAATTGTGGATTGCTAGAACATCAAAGAGAGGGAGTAAAGTTTTTATACGACCTATACAAAATAGACCATGGTGGCATTCTTGGGGATGATCTGTGAGTAGATTTGCTACATCAATATTCTGGATGATTCATCTGGTTTTTAACTTTATTCACTCTTTATATATTATTTGTATGTCATCCTGCAACACTTTTAACCGCTTCATGGCCCAAGTGCTCGTGCTTTGTTAACGTACCGGTTTTTACTCATTATCATTCATACCTGAACCTCGTAGTTTCTAGGGTATAGCCAGAGGTTGCTTGGATGATCCTTGGCTTTGCTTGTCATACAACAGTTCTTAAATTTCATGTCAGATTTAATTCTTAAATGTGCGGTAGTCTTATGCTGATGGAGATGCATGAGTGATTCTTTATTAGCATTTCTACAAAGACGAATAGAGTTTTCTCCCTTTTTTTTATTTTTTTCTAAAAAATTGTTACAGGGGACTAGGCAAGACAATTCAGACCATAGCATTTCTTGCTGCAGTCTTTGAAAAAGATGGTGAATTTGGTCACTCCATAATGTTGAAAGAAAAACAACTTGACAAGAAGGGCCCTGTGTTAATTGTCTGCCCCTTTTCTGTCATCCACAATTGGGAATGTGAATTCTCTAGATGGTCAAGCTTTATTGTTTCTACTTACCATGGTTCAAATGGTGATTTGATTTTTGAGAAGCTACAAGCCAATGGAGTTGAGGTACTTATAACCAGTTTTGACTCACTCAGAATTCATGGGAACATATTGTCAGATGTCAAATGGGAGATTGTGATTGTTGATTAGGCACACCGTCTAAAGAATGAAAAGTCAAAACTCTATACAGCATTTTTGGATATTAAGACTCGTAAAAGTGTTGGTTTCACGGGAACTGTTATGCAGAACAAAATCATGGAACCGTTCAACCTCTTTGACTGGGTTGTTCCTGGATTCTTAGGAACATGTGAACATTTTCATGAGTTTTATGATGAACCCCTCAAGCGAGGCCAGAGGTCAACTGCTCCTGAAAAAGGATTTGTGCAGGTTGCTGATAAACGGAAACAGAACCTTGTATCCATTCTTCATAAATATATGCTGAGAAGGACAAAAGAGGAGACTATTGGGCATCTTATGATGGGAAAAGAAGATAATGTATTCTTTTGTGCTATGAGTGAATTGCAAAAACGGGTGTATAGGAGAGTGTTGCAGCTGCCAGATGTCCAGTGTCTTATAAATAAGGACGTTCCTTGTAGCTGTGGAAGCCTTCTTACCCAAGTGGAATTTTGTAAGAGGATCATACCAAATGGGATTATCTGGCCATAGCTTCACAGGGATAACCCAGATGGTTATGATTCACGCACGTTCTGTCTTGGCCTTCCTTGCCTTGTCAAGCTCTAACAGGTTAATGAGTTCCCCCATTTTATTTTATTTTTTTTTATTTTTTTTTATTTTGCTACGTACGTCTAGGAACTGGAGCATTTATGCATTCTGAAAATGTTACCTTTAAATTGTTTCTAATCTATAGAGAACTTGCATCAAATCTAGAGGCAAATATCTGCTTATATGGATAGATTTTAACAGTTGGAATTATAGTCAACACCACGAGGTATGAAAGACTGGCTGTGAAATAATAAAATATTAAATCAATTTAATTGTCTGTTAAATTGGAAACAGGAAATTTCTCTTAACAAAGGAGAAGATGTGATAGAGTAAGTTTGTGTCTCGGTCCAGACTTACGCTTTATATTCTGGTGCAAGTTAATAGAAACTTTAATATTTTTTTATTCAACTTAAAAGCAAGGTTAGATTTTCCTTTCTGGTTCCATTTCATGGCGAACATCCTATAGTCTATTCTCAAAGTTAAAGGCATTAAGGAATTACATTGTTTTGGACCCTTTAAGTGTTATGAAGCTGTCATTTTGGAATTGTTCTATTCTTTACTTCGTAAAATAGGAAATTTCACATAACATAATACATATTTATCTATTTAAACTTATATAAAGATATAATAAATTAATAAATGAAAATAAGTTTGACATAACTTAAGAAAATATATTGAATAAAATAATAAATCATGTTGTTACGTGAGCAATAAATACTTCAAAAATATATTAATTTAAATTTTATATTAACTGACTATAGTGAAATAAGATGCCCTAAAGTTTTGATTAAAATATACATTTAGCCTTTTATCTTATTAAGTTTAAAGTTTTTAACCTCTCATTTTATATTATAAAGTTTTTAGCCTTAAAAGTTTGAAGATTTTAGTTCTCACTAATGAAATTTGTTAATTTTTCGTTAGAGTGAGAATAAAATATTGGGTATGTCTATCATGTGCTCTTAGGGTACAAGATAAGAAGTTATTATTAAGTAATAATTATAA